TTTTTTTCATTAAAGCGAAAGTACGGGACAAACTGCGTCTCTTCTCAGCTCAATATGAAACGTGTAATATTTTCTCTGAATGAGGGACCATTCCATTTTTAAGGAGCCGTTGGAAACTCTACTATGACATAACTTGTGAATAAAGTTCACTATCAATAACATCACAGCACCCACCCAACTGTATAGAAACTCCGTCATGCTAGCTAGCACGCAGTACGAATTACTGTAACTGACTGTAAAAAGTCAGCACAACGAAAATAAACTCCACCTAAACTTGGTTTATATCTGACCCAGATAGACTGCAGGTCATAGCTTCTTACCTGAAGTTCAGTTCACCTGACACTCGGACCAGCGGCCGCCTCGGATCTCTCCTCCTGCCTCCCCTTCCCTCATCCACCAGCTGGCCTCTGTGGAAGCTCTGCCACAGCCACCACCAAAAAACTGAATTAGTTTTACACATCGACCTGCATCTGGCCAATCCACCACCTGTCATTGTTCATGCCGTTACAAAAAAAAAACAAAAAAGTCATCAGCCCACCGGGCAAATGCCCGGTTTGCCCGATGACCAGTCCAGCTATGTTAACCTGCAACCAAATCTGCAGCTCCATACAGCTATGTTACGACTTGGATTATATCTTATAACTCATAACTCTTATGTTAGCTCCCCCCAGTAGCCTACTGTCTGATATATTCGACGGTTGCAATAATTCTTTAAGTGTTATTTTTTCCTTGGTATTCTAATTTTACCGAAGTTTACTAAACTCAACAAACTTAATGGCTGGACACGCCACTGCCCTGCTCTAGAGTCACACTCAGGCCAAATCTGGCCTTTTGTGCTCAAAAATCCTTATCTCCAATGCACTCCATTGCAGCTAGAAGCTTTTGACCCCCTTCTTTTCTCCTCTCCTGAAGAGGAGCGCCTACATGTCCACTTAGGGCAGGGGTCTGCAACTTTTAACACCCAAAGAGCCACTTGGACCCGGTTTCCACGCAAAAGAGCCGCAAATACTTTTTGAAATCTAAAATGAAGATAACACTGTATATATTGTTTTTTACCTTTATGCTTTGTGCGAACATCTAAAGTAAGTAAGTAAAGTTTATTTATTAAGCGCTTTTCACAGACAGGCAGTCACAAAGCGCCGTACACAAATATTAAAATAAACAATACAATCAATAGACATTATACACAATGTAAAAGATCAAATGTAAATAATGTAAAGAATATAAAATACGTAGATCAACA